TTGTGGCAATCAGCATTATGCCACAAGTGCTGTCGATTGAGCTCATCTCATCCCGATACTGTTTATTATCTTTTAAGTGTGGCAGTGTATTTTTAGTGGATGAAATGCAGTGTTATTTCCTCATCTCCACTGTGAACAATGAAGTGTGGCTGTTGAAGTGTTCAGAGAAGAGCTTCAGCCAGCTGTTTTTCGAGGCCCTGTATACTTCACAATGTATGAGGAGACAGGAAACGCATCAGTGCACATGGCACATACATACATGCACCCGCTCGTACAAAACACGGCCTCTCACAATCACGCTGGTCCCCGACTCGTGTCCTCCTTATTTCCCTTGAATCGTGCAAATTGCTCTTTCAAAACTCCTCATTTGAAAACAACAACCCGAAGAAAAAAAACATTGCCTTCAAATTAAAGAATTTCACCAGGGCGAAATTGCCGAGGACGACATCTGCGTCTAGTTTTCCTCTCGAGTGTATGATTGGGAAATTCATTTATGTCTACCGTATAATTCCTAACCCTCTTTTAAGTGGCAAAAGCCATGCAGCACTCCACATTTCCCCCCTTGAAAATAAAAAACAAGAGGGATTTGGTACAAAACAAAGCCTCTGTACTTCTTTCCTCCAATCCTTTCTGTTTTTTTTTTTTTTTTCCTCCCAGTATAATGTAACCCTCTAGTACTTTGGAGATGATGAAGTCGGGTTAGCAATTGTGGGTGAGGAATAAAGATTGCTTGTCTGATCCACTTCTGGCAGTCTTAAGAGAAAGCCACATGCGCACACATGCATTTATCACTGATTGCCAAATGATGCCCTTCACTGTCAATAGTTAAGGGCCGTGCATTTTCTGTCATTTAAAGAGGCCGCTGGCTTGGGGGATGTGATGTGATGATGCTTGGGGGAACCTTCTGCTCCAGATGGGACTTGATGTGATCACGCATAAAAACATTTAAATAGCTTTTTTTTCTTTCATTTTTATATGTGTTTTGTAAATAAAACCCTTAAGTGTAACCGTACCACCAGTGGGACATTATTGCATTTCAATCCTACACTGTAAAAAAATTATATGATCAACTAGTCATGACAACAAATGTTTTAGTTCATTTCAACAAATTAATTTAAGTTAATCATGTTCTAACTTCTGCAAGCTGTTTTAAGTCAGTTTAACATAATATAAGATAAATACTCTTAAATTTATTTTGATTCAGCTTTAAAATTTAAGACAACCAGGATTTTTTACAGTGTACTCTAATAATTACAAATTATATATATATATATATATATATATATATATATATATATATATATATATATATATATATATATATATACACACACACTTCGGCTAGTCATGTAGTCATGCATTTATACTTCTGCCTGCTGTTTGTGTTTCCAAAACGCTAGCTGTAGTAAGTTATGTTCCTCTATATTAAGTTTCTTTACGAGTGTTTTGTTTTTTCTGAATGATACCTTAATGTAAAAGTAGCTAAAACCGGCGGACGTGCAACAACTTTAATCATACGGTAAACACAAAACATCTGAAGCTCCTTCTTGGGACTCGATAATTGTAAAAACTCGCTCCATCTGGCTCGTGCTTCACAGCACTCGGCACAGCTACAAAGCCAACCAATCACAGAGCTTGTGATATGCGTCGTTGCGACATATTTCAGAGGTGCGTGTACTTTACGTGTAAAGTATAAGTATAAATCAGCCTTCAGTCCCTAATTTATCAGAGGTTGCCACTGTCGAAGGAACCACCAATTACATTGGCATGTTTTATTAAAATTTCAGATTACATATATTACTTTTTTTGTTACATATAGGAAGGATAATAGATTAAAACACATTTACAGTCATGTTCCAAAAAATAAACAAAAAAAAGATTTTTAGCTGATACTGTGGTAAGGATAAATACGTTCCAAACAAAATAAAATACTCGTGGCTCCTGGCAATTTGTTGGGGTCTTATGAAATGAATTGATCAGTCTGTGTAAAACAATAAGACTTCTTCAATGGTTCTATATGTGTTTATTTAATAATAGCTGGAAACTATTATTTCCAGATTTTAACAGCATCAGCTCACACATGCCAATTTTTGGTGGTAATTTTGTAAATTATGTTCAGATTTTTGTACAGACTGATATTTTCACTTCATAGGACCACAGTGTATCATCAGGAGCAATGTAAATTAATTTAGTTTTGCCTGTAATTATTTATTTATTTTTTGACTCACAAAATATCATTGGCATTTTGTGAATCACCAGATGTCACAGTTTCAGAAAAACAATAATAATAATGTCATACAAATGGGTGTTTCCCAGTGTTGGGTTGTGGATGGAAGGGCTTCCACTACATAAAACATATACTAGATAAGTTGGCAGTTCATTCCGCTTTGGCGACCCCTGATTAATAAAGGGACTGATCCGTAAAGTAAATGAATGAATGTCATACAAATCTGATTATTTGTGGGTGAGTAAATTAAGAAAAAACAAATGTGTTAGAAGGAACTATCACTTAATATAGAAGCAATATAAAAGTATGTCTTGTCTTAACTGTGCTTTCTAATGAAGTTTTAAGTTTCTCTCTAGTGTTTGGTATCTGTTCTTAAACAGCAAAAGTTAGCAATGACAACTCTCTATTCATCAAACACCTGCCTGCTCACCACAAAGCCACAAGAGGAACAAATGAGCCTCATCTCTCTTTCTCTCTCTCTACTCTCTTCTGTCTTTATTTACTCATTCCCTCCACATTTTCTTCTCACAGCTTCTTTAAAGAGACGTGATGCTGCAAGAGTTTGCTCTGAAACAGAAACTGTCTTAAACTATTTAGCATGCATCCACAATAGATGAACACCAAACCTTAACAGCTCACCCTCTTTGCATTCATACACAATTTTTAATCTTTACATTCTGAAATGAATATAAGAATGAATCCACAACTTGCCTAATTTTTTTATACATACAGGAGGATTTATTCATGCTAAAAGTTCACTCAAAATTAATTGCCATATTTTACTCATCCCTAGGGCCAGACAGAATCTGCAGACATTTTTTGCAATTTTTGCGAAGAACTTTGTTAAAACAAATCTGTGAATTTATTCAGAATTATTTTAGGAGTATCATAAGTAAAATCTTAATATATTTGAAATATAAAATTAATACATTTTAACTTTTATTTAATGGTAACAATGAAAATTCAATTTGATTCACTTATTTGGTAATCAAAGCAAGTCTCTAATATAATATCTATACTAAAACTAGTAAATAAATAAATAAAAATAAATGAATAAAAATATAATTTTACAAACTGTATTGTAAATAAGTCATAATAAAAATATTTTATATCACAGTAATATTAATGAAATTAATGAAAAAAGTTAATAAATATAAATTTACATACATTTACACTAGTCAATAAATAGACTCAATTATGTGTTAAAAATCTGCAGATTTCTGTGCATGCAGATTTTGTGTGGGCCTACTCATCCCTTTTTGTTCCAAAACTTTGATTTTCTTTCTTTTGTTAAACACAAGTATTCTGAATAAAGCTGGAATCCTCTAACCATTAGAATCTATAGTGTTTATTTCCCCCTACTATGGAAGTGAGTGGTTACAGGTTTTCAGCTTTTTTAGATCTTCTTTAGTTTTCAACAGAAAAAAGAAACACATAAAGGTTGAGAACCACATGCTACACAAATAAATAGTGAGTATTTTTCATTTTTTGGGGTGAACTATCCCTTTAATTAAAAGTAAAACAATAAAACTATAATACATTTTGCCATTTAAAACAGACAAAGTTTTTTAAAATAATAAATTAATTAATTAAATTTATTATCTACATGATGCTTATTTTACCTCAACTATTGCCAAATTAATGTATCTACAATTTTTATTTAAATAAATTTACTAAAAGAAAATTATATTTAACAATAAAAATATTGTTTAAAAACATAATATTATTAAAAATAACTGTCACACTATGAATTATTTAAAAACTTATATATATATTCTTTATTTTATCTCATTTACCTACATCCAACAGATCGCACTAATATGTCTTTCTTTTCTTTGTCATTATTTTATAACCTGTTTTTAACACATTTTAATCATTTTTAATTCTTTTAATCATTTTTTTTTGTTTGTTTGTTTTATTCTTGTTTATGTAAAGCGCTTTGGATTGTCATTGTGTATGAAATGTGCTATATAAATAACTTGTCTTGGCTTATTTTAATATTGTAATTGTACATTTAGAACAAATCTGAAGCTCAGATTTTAAATATTCAGTGTTCAAAGATTGTGTGAGGTATAATATCATGTCATAAGTTGGATATAAAAAAAGTATTTAATCTCAGATCAATTCCAAAGTAAAAAATGCTGATTTTAAACCTAATTATTTTCAAAACACATTCTGCCTACATCTCAGGAACCATTTGAGAAACAATGCAGATTATCCGTGATAATCAGTTGAACTTTAAGCTTGAATCTTTTTACTGAAAGGCATAAAAAACGCATATTTTGAGTCATAATGACATATAATGATTCATGAGTGAAAATCATCAGAGCGTGACGGGGAGATTTGGGGGGAGCTGAATTAGTCTGGTGTGGTTTGATGGAGGGTGAACGAGAGGGTGTGTTTACCAAGCGCTTGGTGCAAATGAATGAGTGGTGGCGGAGGTGAAAGTTGTGTCAAATGGTGTGGAAACATCGAATTGAAAGAGCACATTCTTGCTGAAATATGGTTGCAATACTCCAGAACGGATAAAAAAGCGGTGTTTAATGGCAGCGTGTGGTGAAGGCTCACTGGAAGCGTGTGGAGAGCTGCAGACAGGCCTGAATGGAGGCTTCACAGTAGATGACGCTGGAAATGGTGCATCCTGGTGCAGGCGAGAGACTCAAATGAAGCTTGCTTAAATAGTGTGGCACGCTGAAAGTTTGATGTACTCCATTTGGCTCTGTTGTGTCTAATGACTTTTTTTTTTCTCCTCTCCCTTTCTGTCTCTCATTAGGAAACGGCTATGGAAACCACCGCAACTCTCCAGGTCTGCTGGTGTCCTCTGGAGGAATGAATAAAAGCATGCAGGCGAAATCTCCTCCGCCGGTGAACTTGGGCATGAACAGTCGCAAGCCTGACCTGCGAGTGCTCATCCCGCCTGGAGCCAAGAACAACATGCCCTCTATCGTAAGTCCATTACTTTTGAAACAAAATATCAGATCATTTACTCACCTTCATGTCATTACAAATCCATTAAACCTTCAATCAATTTAAATGAATACATTAATACACTAACTGTAAGAGATTTCTGTCCCTCCGTTGAAAGTTACTTCACCTAAAACTATAAATATAAAACATTATTCACTAGACTTTTTTTAGGCATGCACGATATAACAGCGGCCATATCGATATCGGCCGATAAATGCTATTTTTAATGTTACCATTATCGGTTCGATATTAAAATTAAGCCGATATCTTTAGGCCAATAGATTATGTCATTGTTCAGAATTGCCTGCTTGTCATTTTGTTATTTAACCTATTATTTTTTTGCAATGGTTTTATATGAATTCGCTATGCAAAGAAAAGAATACATTTTTGGCGTGCTGATTTATGTGAAACCGTGAATATAGGACTATATAATCACCTTGCAATTTTGAAATTATTGCTGTTTTTTTTTTTTTTTCCTTTGAGTAGGCTATTCTAAGATCTGTTCAAACTTTTATGAAGTTTGTGAAATGAAATCAGTTGTTCATTGTTTAAAAATGTAACATTTTGAAATATTTGTATTTATTGGCTAATATATCGGTTATCGAAATCTAAAGAATTATCGGTTATCAATATCAGACCAAAAATCCCTATCGTTGCATCCCTACTTTTTTTAACGTCCCTTTATCTACAGTGTTTATTACAAGCAAGGTATTGAGAAAAAAATATCATTACTAAAAATTAGTTAATTGCATCCAATATAACAGTTTGCTTTGACATAATTATAATAATAAGTGTGCATACTTTGTATTTTTTATTATGTGCATATAAATGCACACAGGCATATATATATGAGAAAATGTTTATTTATATTTAGATATAAAATATATTTGTATATGATACAAATTATACATTAATTTAAATATATATGTAACTAAATGGTTTTGTATATTTTTGACCCTAAAAGGGCTTTTAAAATTTAAAAACTGTTTTTACTCTAGCCAAAATAAAACAAATAAGAATTTCTCCAGAAGAGAAAATATTATCAGACATGTTAAACATCATTTGGGAAATATTTAAAAGAGAAACTAATTTCAAAAGGGGGCCAATAATTCTGACTTCAACTGTATATAGAATCTTAATTTATGTCTTATGTATGGGTCTGGAACAAGATGTGGGTGAGTGAATGATGACATCATTTTAATTTTGTGCTGAAGTAAACTCTTAAAAAAAACGAGACTCAGTTCCTTCCCAATCCTCCATGCTCCTCTTCTCGTTTCCTCTCCGATAGTTTCATAAACTGATAAGCCCAGGTAAGAGTCCTGTTAGAAACCTTACAGCTCCTCAGCTTTGGTGAAGTCTTGTAATGGTGAAGTAGGTTCACGTAGTGTCAAAAAAACACACACAAAAAAAAACCAGCTTCACTAATCCTGGATTTATTGCCCTCCCTTTACCGCAATCAGTCTGAGGATGTTGACCTTCTATTGGTAAGTGACTCAAAACGGAGGCTAAAACTGTAGATCAGAATGCCATTTGTCATCCTAATACAAACTGATCAGAGCAATAGTGTTTAGACTTTAGACTTTATTATGGACATGTAAAATATAGCTACAAAAAATATTAATAAACAAAGCACAATAATAAATAAAATACAAAAGACTTTTAACCTATATATGTCCAAAAAGAAATAGGAAGTAGCATACACTCTCAGAAATAAAGGTACATGAGCTGTCAGTGGGGCGATACCTTTTCAAAAGGTACATATTTGTACCTAATTGGTGCATAATGGTACCTCAAAGATACGTTGTAGGTACATTTGGGCACTGATATGGACGTTTGAGGAACCACTGTGGACTCTTTGGGTACAAATATATATTTTTTGAAAAGGTACTGGCACAGAGACAGCTCCTGTACCTTTATTTCTGAGAGTGTATGAAGAGTTCAGATGCAAAAACCTGTCTGAAATGTCAATAAAAAATGATAATTTTTCATTTGTTTATGTTGAGATGTTTCACTTTAAAGACCAGGAAAAGGACTTATTCTTTGCCATAAAAGTGATAGTACTGAACATACAATCACAATCCTGATTTTAAAAAAATGCTCATTTTAGAGGAGTATTTGTATCTAAACTCTTCATATGCTTGTTTAATGTCATTCTCAGCTACTGTACAAGTATGAGTAGCAATCTGAAGTATGATTAACAATCCAAAACAATAAATAATTATCCATAACAATTATCATCATTCTGTCATCTTATTACTATCCTAAAAAACTCCTTTCACACATATATAACAAAATAAACTATAAGCAAACCAATCAAATCTGTTTTTTCTTCCGTAAACAGTCTGAAAGTCATATGTTTATGCAGATTTTTGACTCCCTGGACATTGTTTCTAGACCTAGTCTGTTCCACATTTTCACTCCACACACACTCACAAATACAAAAAAAACGTGTTAATGTTTAGTGTTTGTAGTGTTTGCTCAGAAATAACGTATTGTTCTGATAACAATAGAGCCATGTGCATGTTGACTTGTTATTAGCGAATAAGGAAAGCTAAAGAGTGACATCTAGTGGTCATGAGAGTCATCTGGTTTTTTTAGGTCTTATTGACCCTTCCATCTCCTTCTCTGCTTTTCTTAATCTCTGCCTCATCATTCGGTCTTCATGCCAGTGCAACAGAGAGAGAGAGAAAGAGAGGGAGAAAAAAACATCCAACCTCTTGGCACTGTTGCCTTGGAGACCTTGAGTTTCTATAGCGACCAGTGCCCTATGCAGGATTGTAAATTATAGGTTGAGAGGGTTCAGTGGTGCTTCATGTCAAGTGCTTATTATCATTATTATTTTATTTTTTTAATCTTTTTATTTTGTTGATGAAGATACAGATACAGTGTGTGCATGCACTATAAGTCATCTATATTTGTTCTTCTGCTTTCTTTGTGTAGAATCAGAGAATAAACAACTCTCAGTCTGCGCAATCACTGGCGACCCCTGTGGTTTCTGTAGCGACACCCACTCTACCAGGACAGGGAATGGGTGGATACCCGTCAGCCATCTCCACCTCGTATGGTACTGGTAGGTAGAAACTGACCTGTCAGAAAACCTCTGCACAAAAATAAATGATTTTTTGCACCTTGTTCAAACTACTTTTTAAATGAGCTAAGACAACAAAGTTCTTAGGATTTTTAGGACAGCCTAATTGTTTTTTGTTCAATCAATTTATTTTTGTAAAAAAACTATCAAGGTAACTTGAAGGTAACCCTCCATTTTTTAAAGTGTACACTGCAAAACAAAACAAAACTTACTGTCTTGTTTACAGTCCAAATATATAGAAGCATTTTCTACACAAAAAAATATTGTTTTGTTTTCAGAAATAATCAGTCAAAATTGAGATTTTTTTTTTATTATTAAAACAATCTAAATAATCTGCCAGTGAAGATATACATCAAATATTTCTAACCAAATCTTTTTTTTTTTTTTTTTTTTGCTTACCCAAACTGGTAGATTATCTAGCCTTTTTACGGAAAAACTCACTGAACTGTGTCTTTTTATTTTTTAAAACAAAACTATTTTTTACTTGTTTAGGAAATGTAGAATTTATAGATATCTGGACTAGGAAAAAGACACAATCACTAAGTAAGAAAGATATTTTTCCCTTTTATAATCACCTATACACTAACAATTTAGCATTGTGTACACATTTTATATTTCTTGCAAAAAGGTATATATTTTACTTTAAAGAAATACACATTATACATTGCTTTTTGTAATTCGGATAAGAGAATATTTCCCAGCTTTGTTTAGCTTTAAAAAACGTAATTTAATGTACTCATTTAAAAAGTAGTAATAAAAAGGAATTATTAATAAATATAATTTCTAAAAAGAACTTATAATAAAAATGCTAATGTATAATAAAAACTAATTGATGCAAATGATACCAAAATATCTCTGGTTATATCATTGTTAATAAATTAACACATTTATTTTAATATAATATAGGAAATTATTTATAAAATAATATAAAATATATTATTAAACATACCACTTACTGTAAATTTACATCAAATGAAGAGTGCATTTAATTATTTTAGCATTATAATGTGTTGCTTTTCTTGCTTTTCTTAAACTCTGTGCTTAATTAAGAACAAATTATTATTAATCTGTTGTCTATTCTTCATTTAATAAAGCAATTATGTTTAAAGACCACAGAAAACCATGCAAAACCCATTAAATTCTAGACAGTAAAACTTTGTTTCAGTAAAACATTTTTTCTCTCTCCTTGTAAGTTTTGTTTTAATACATAATTTCAAACTACATTAAATAGTAGCCTTTAAATAATAAAATAAATAGATTAACATTCCTCTGTCTATGTTATTAGATTGCATCTTAATGTTTTAGATGATGTCTTGTTTGATTAAATCCTGCCTTATCTCTACGACTTATTTATCCTGCATCTAATAGCTCCGTCTCTCCAGCAGGTGGAGACAATGTTCTTCTAAGTAAGCAGCAGTGTGTTTTTGAACGCAAATGTTAACCCTAGTCATGTGTTTTCTTCTAGAATATTCCCTGAGCAGTGCGGATCTGTCCTCTATATCTGGCTTTAACAGTGCCAACACACTTCATCTGGGCTCAATGAGTGGCTGGCAGCAACATCAGATCCAGAACATGCAGCACTCTGCACTCAGTCAGCTGGGGTGAGCCAAACGCACACACACACACACTTCCAGTTTTAATTCTAAAGGCCCTGGTATACTAACAGCAAGGCTCTTAATCATTATTAGCTTAGTGGTAAAAGATTCAATTAAAAAGTTTGAATTACTTAAGCAGTGTTATACTGTTCGTAAATGTCTAGACACTGCCTGCATCTACCTGTCAACATTGGAATTTTAAAATAAGGGATCCCTCATATATATATATATATATATATATATATATATATATATATATATATATATATATATATATATATATATATATATATATATATTTACAAACTTTCATTCTGCAGTAGCTTTGTATAATTATTGTTATCTGATGTCACTGTTTTAATTGTATCTTTCGCACAGGAGTGCATGCACACTTATTCTGATCCATAACCCCCTTCATTTCCTTTCCTTCCTACAGAAATTGCTCTAGCTCTCACTTATGTCAGGGTTCAAATCTGTCCCTGCCCTCTACTCAAAGCCTGCACATCAAGTCCGAACCTGTTTCTCCTCCTAGAGATCGATCCAGCAGCACCACACCAGGCGGCTACGGCCAGCTACCATCCCACCAGCAGCACCAGGGCCCAACCTCGCAGGGGCGACAGGACTCGGGCCGCTCACCGGCTGATAGTCTCAGCAGCTGCGGGAGCTCACACGAGGGAAGCGACCGCGACGAGCACCGTCCCGACTTCCACTCGCCCCTAGGATTGGGCCGGCCCGGCCTGGACGATCAAGACAGCCCGTCCATCAAACGCATCCGCCTCTCGGAAGGGTGGGCCACATGATAAGCAATGGCCCTCTAGGACAGACCCGTCCGCGTTCTTGACCTCCCCGTGCGAAACGCCGCTACATGTTCTTTCTGCCGATTCTGACTAGTCACAATCATTGCTCTCCCCTATTCTCTGATTTGCTGTAGAGAGGGGAGAGAGTGCTCTCTGTAATGTTTTTATTATTAATTATTATTATTTGATCAGAGTGTTTCTGTTATACATATTGATGTGATTGACGGGTTTCAGGGAGGGTTGGAGGACTAGTAAAAGCGGGTTGGGGAGGGTTTAGTGGGCGGGGCTACTATGCATAACTTGTGCAGTGTGTGGAATACTATGTAAAGAATTACCATATATGCATATATATTTACACGTTGTGTAGGTGTACATGTATGCAGAGTAACAAACCAACAAAAAGTGTCAGGTACTCTTGGATCTTTTCTTTTTTTTTTGTAAAGTCCTTGCCTCAGTGACGTTGAGCACAGCAGAGAGCGTTTTTCACCGAGGTGACAGCTTAGCTCTTGAGTTGCTGTACCAGTACAGTATGTACAGATTCCTTTTACCTGTTTTTTTTCAGTGCCACTCTTTTCAGAGGGCGCCTTCGCTAAATGTATGTTATGGGTGTCATGTTGCAGGTTCAACGTATTGTACATAGAGACAAAACGCTGGGGAACGATAAAGGTCAAATTTCACACAAACAAATCTGTTATGCAAGAATTTCGAAGGATTGTACAGATATATGTGCAGGTTCCTTGGTTAACTTATGGGGAAAGGAAGTATTTCAGGAAAAAAAGCTCTCCTGCAGAAGGAATATAAAAATAGCAGGACAGAGTTGTGGAGATGAAGGACTTTTAGAGCCATTGATGACATTTAATCCTAGGACTTGCAGTTGTTGTTCAGTATTAAAAGACAAAAACGAGAAAAACATGTATGATACACTTGCTTATATTTTCATATCAAAAAGGAATACAATGCAAAGCATTTTGTGGCTTTTTGTAGTTTATAAGAGCCAGAATGTGTTTTGATAGCTTTGCTTATATGAAAAGTGATAGTAAAAGAAGGAGAAACTTTGGGCTTTTCAACCACAAGCCATGAAATCTGAGACAGTGAATTCTTGCTTTGCTCAATGTTTTTTTTTTCTCTCTCTCTTTCTCTTTGTAAAAGTTTTGTTTTTAAACGTGTATTTTTAAGTATATTGAATAATAATATTAAGAATCTTTTTGAAAAAAAGATGTGAAATTAACATGCTTGTGTATAGCTTTCTAATATATGAATATATATGATTAAAAAATTATGGTCAAATCTTTTTTTTTTTTCCCCTTGTGCAGGGGACATGGTAAATGTTTCCTTTTTATTTTATTTTCCCTCCACCAGACTGAGTTTTTCAGGAGCAGAACATGCTCACAAATACGTCCCTCCCTTTTTTTAAAGCACAAGATATTTTCTGGAACAATCACAAGCTTTTCAAGTTTCCAGTGTCACATTAACCGACATTGCACTGAAGATTTTCTAATATAAGACAGCACAGTCATAGATACCTCATGACTGCTTGTGTACGCTCGTGTCATCATTTAGTGGATCGTGACTAGTTCTGTTCAATTGATATACATATCTATCATTGTGCATTCTGTGATTTTGACAGGACATATGTTAGATGTTTTTTTTTTCTACCAAAGACAAACAGTGATGTTATGTTTGCTGATCCATATTCTTTTTCTTGGTTTGAGACCATTGTGTTTCTTCACGAGTTGTTCATGCTAGTGGCTGGTACCTCTGACTCACCCTCCCAGTGCCTCAGATTACCTTTCAATCAGTTGGTCTTGTTGACAATGGGACGTTCTCCTTTAACTAACAAGTGTATAGTATTGTGGAAAAAAATGCCATTGTTTGTTGTTCTATAGATTTCAATTGTCCGTATATGACTCTCCGGTTAATTTGTTATTTTGATTTTCTTTTCTAGATTTTTTTGGTTGATCTTTTCTCTTTTTTTCTCTCTCTCTCTCCATCTCTCTCTCTCTCTCTCTCTCTCTCCCTCTCGAGTGTTGTTTCCATTAAGTATATCAATTACAAAATAAAAAAACTGAAAAAAAAATGCTGAAAAACTCTGTAGTAACAATGTAGCTTGTATAAACCTACAATGGGTAAGGTGGAAAGAAAGTGTCTTTTTTTGCTTTCTAACCAGGAGAAAGAGGCTTTCAGCGGCACAAGCTGGACTTTGTCGCCACTTGAAGACAAGATGTCATTAAATTAAAACCACATCTCTGTATCTCAAGGGACTTGATTCAGCTGTATGTAGTAAAAAATAATGTATGGAATAAAAATTGTTTCTCCTGCTGGGACTAAAAAAAGGTATTTGTATTTTGCAGAGAATTCAGTAAAGTTACTGGCTTTCTTAGTTACACAGACGTCCTGGTGTGATTTTTGTTGTGTTCTATCCCTCGCCTTTGCAGGATATCTTTGTGAATGTGTGCGATTTCTCTAAAACAAGCAGGTTTTCTTTTTTGCATAAACAAAGAATTAATTTACGCAGACTTAGATCACCTATTTTTTCAAACAGGTTAAAATAGTCTAAAAAACAAAGTTTTACTACTCATTTAAGTTTTACTACTCATTTAAATACTGTCTAGTTTAATAACTGACTATTATGACTTAACTTTTGATTCCTATTTATTCTGGATTTTACATCCTGTCACACATTCAAACATTACAGAACACTTATTTACAATGATTGGCCTTAATTTCCATACAATACTAACTGAACCAATTTTACACACTTGATAGTCAGTATGCTAGTCAGTTTGGATCTTTATTTACAGTTAAAGCAGTTCTTGCTGCTTGTTTACTTGTTTTAGTGAAGTTGTGGGTCTGCATCAAATTTAATTTCCTGCCTTTTAGTAAATCTTGGCCACATTGATATATTTTCTGATTTAAAGGGATAGTTCACTTAAAAATTGTCATTTCTAAATTAATTATTCTAAATTACTATTCAATTTCCCAATGATGGGCTGCAGCTGGAAGGTCGTGCGCTGCGTAAAACATGGATAAGTTGGCGATTCATTCTGCAGTGGCGACCCCGGATTAATAAAAGGACTAAGCTGAAAAGAAAATGAATGAATGAATAATTAATATTTAATATATAGGAGACTATTTTCCAATAAACCTAGAATGTATCAGGGTATCCGCTGGGTCTTAAAAATTCTTAAAATGTCTTAACTCTCAAAGGCTAAGTTTAAGGCCTTAGAAATCAACTGAAATGTTGGGTTTTAGGTCTTAAATATTTTTTTACACGTCTTAATGTTCCTTTGTTCATGTACAGCTAACCAATCTGGCCATTAACCCCCCTACAATCACCACAACCCATCTCAATCTATTTTAACTTAATATTTTAAAAGAGCATTTAATTACTTTCCTTACAGTAATATTTGATTAAAAGTCCTTCATTTATTTACTGCTGAGGATATACTGACCTGACCAGTGGTTCAAACAGAATTATTATTGTTGTTTTATTGTTAAATGTATTAAATTTTAATAATTTTTTGATATGGCAAATCTTTTCTAACTAGGGTATTTGAAAAAAAATCCTTAGCATTTAGCTCTGTACAAGTCTAAAATTTCATTCATAATAGTCTTTAAAAATGACTTAAGAAGTTTTACATTTAATTTGGTGAAACCTGCAGAAACCCTGATATATTTATATATTTATTATTATTTTATTTTAATTTTTTGAGACAAAGTTCTAGGCGCCGTGGTGGCTAAGTAGGGAGTGCTGTCGCCTCACAGCAAGAAGGTCGCTGGTTCAAGCCTTGGCTGGGTCAGTTGGCATTTCTGTGTGGAGTTTGCATGTTTGCCCGTGGCTCCGGTTTACCCCACAAGTCCAAAGACATGTGGTACAAGTGAACTGGGTTAGCTAAATTGTCCGGAGTGTATGTGTGTAAATGAGAGTGTATGGATGTTTCCCATAGATAGGTTGCAGCTGGAAGGGCATCCGCTGCGTAAAACATGCTGGATAAATTGGCGGTTCATTCCACAGATTAATCCAGATTAATAAAAGGGACTAAGACACTATATATATATATATATATATATATATATATATATATATATATATATATATATATATATATATATATATGACTTGAGCAAGATACCTCGTTCCTACTTTCTTTTAACCTTTTTATGAACAATATTTAAATGTATGTCAACATCTTTGACAGCAAGAGTCTGTTAAAAATAATATGTAAATTGACCACGAGCAGACACTTTAACCAATCATGATGTTTTCTGTTCCGCAAAACATCCATATATGGAAACCGGAAGCTTAGAAGACAACAGACTTTAAAGCGAATTTAAAAAATGTAACGACTGTTTTTACCTCGATCACATGTCAGCATCGACATACACAGCTCAAACCCTAATAAACTGTTGACTATGACAGGGTACAGACACCATGAAAGCAACAGCAACGAGGAAAACACGTTAGGAAAGTTATCTGTGGCAGGTAAGAACTTCGAAAGCTGTATAACGAACCACATTAGTGTTGTCCTGTTTGATTTCGTATAGCGTATTGTTTGGTCATTTCGAAAGTGAAAAATCTACAAATAATTATCGGATAAACATTCGTATACCATTCGTGTTCTTCAGAATTTACTCCAACTTGTCACATAACACCGGCCAGGATGTTTCAAGCAAGCCTATTAACTGCTTGATTAACTGGCTCATGATTGTGCTTGATGCTAAGCTGGCCATCCAGAATCGTGTTTGGGCATCCCTGCCCTATACAAATGAATTGTATTGTGAAAAGCTGAGGTACGAAAGAACAATGTCACATTTTGGCCACAAGATGTCATCATTGTTCAATGGTTAAAAAATGTGACACGCAGTATCATCTTCATTATTTGAATGCATCCACACGTTTCTCCGGTGAAACTGTACTAATCATCGTCAGGTCCATTATAACGATAGGCTACATTGATTCTGCGCAAATTCGACACACACAACCACACTCTTCGATTAGACATTCATGTGAATTTGTGTTTTATTTGAGTTGCACTGAATAGAAAATATTAATAGATTTCTAAATGCGTGATCACATTATATGCTATTGGAATGAGCTCGTTAAATGTAACATTTTTCAGTGCACTGTATAGGTCAATTGAATAAGCCTAGATTCGTGTCACCTATGAGGACAGTTTTAGTCTTCTTATTTATTCTCTATTCATACTTATCACTTGAAAAGTTTAACCGTATAGAACATGTTTAAAATGTAGGTTAAGCATTTTTGAAAACACAATGATCAATAAACCACAACAAAAAGCTTATATTTCAGCGTTTAATCAAGGACATTCATTTTCTATAAAACATCCAATTGCATTAAGACATTATATCTCATTTGACTTACACATTCAGAGTAAATAAGGACAACATCATATACATGAAAACATCAAACGAGCGAAAGAAAGCCGTGACTCTTACTGTTAAAAAAATCGTTAAAGCAACAGAAATCTTTAGGGTTTGAGGTTTACACTGATAATTATTATCGCCTTCTTTCCAGACCAAACTTAAAACGTTAGTGTAGTTTAAGTGTAAAACAAAATTAGAAAATGTTACAAATAAATTATATTAATAGTTGGCTAAATAATAATAATAATAATAATAGTAAAAATAATAATACATAAAAAATAAATGTGCGCGTTTAAAGCGTAATTTGATAATCCCACCAGCAAATCTATTAAACCTATCTGGTTAAAGATGCAAAATTATCGGTGATATTTTTTTATTGATAATGAACAAGAGCATGCAATATCAAGCTCCTCCGGATTGAAAACTAAAGTTAATTTTAAGTCACCTGTCTTTGGTTTGCTTTTTAAAACATTTATTTTATCTTGTCGATTTTTCAAATTGCTACATTTCACATTGTTGCGGGTAAAATTGGAATTAAAGCTAATTAAAAATTACCCGCCTCGGGCCTATAAAAGATCTCTTATGTAGTCTACGTAAAATCAGTAAAGTCAAAGCAGGGTTGGAAAATCCATTTGTTAATATGCTTTACAGTAGGACGTGGTCATCATGCATTTTTAGTTATCAGTTGACTACGTTTTTATTAAGATGAAGCTTTGAAATACTAAATTACAACATGCACTTTAATACGTTTTTTGGCTGTATTTTAAACGCGTGTAAGGTTCATTACTACATAATAACGACTACACTTGTAAAGAGTTGCGAATTGGGGCTATAACCCGCAGATAAAAGCATTTCAAAACAGAAAAGAACCGTCTGAAGTGTCTTATTGTTTACCAACACATGGCATTGCTTTATTAAAAGTGTTGGTTTGCGGAAAGAACATCGGAGTATCAACTTTGTTTCAATTAGTTTTTTTTATCTGCACAAAATGCTGGATATAAATGAGAATTTAAAAAAACTATTAGGAAACATCACTGAAAATGATGATAACCAAGGTTGATGTAGTAAATTACGGGCTTTAACAAAGGATTTTGTTCAATAACCCAAATACTTGGAATAACAGTGTGGTTAGCTGGATTTCATTTCCCAATTATTTAAACTTTCTATGTGCCTTATGTATATAATTTAAAGAAAGTGAACATTTCATTGGCTTCATTACTTTGCTTTTGAGAGAGGATTGTAGTCTTGTTGAATTATATTGACAAAAGTTTAAGGAGAGGGGGTAAAAATTAAATATAAGTGTGATGTCAATACTGTCAATTTAAACGTTCTCCTTACGAAATAGTCGCACTTTTTAAATACTTCGGGGGTTTTTTTTCTGCTTAAGTTTGAGCATTGCACCACTAGATGTCGCCGCGTGTAACAGAAATGCATCCCAACAGCTCAAATTTAATTTCTCACCTCGTGTCTAAAGAATGAATGGCTGAGGCAATATTTAGAAACGGCTTGAAATATTTTTGAATATAATTAAATATATAAATGACGTGTAAAGAAATTAGGAAATAACCAGTGATTATGATGTTATATGCCATCTATGGTAAGGATGAAAAAGTGATCAAACTGTTTTAAAAATGGGAAGCAATGGAAAACTTACACGTTTTACGGTTTCTGAAATATTTGTAAATTACCACCGTCGTTATTAATTATTATTTTTTTTTTTTTTTGTATTTCCCGTGGTTTTCCCTACATTGTTCCACAAAGCTCAACAATAAACAGAAAACGTAACTTTGTATTGAACTACCTGGAAATCATCCTCTCTATCTTCCTGTCTATCCATATCTCCCTCTTTCTATCACGTTTAACTGATCGACAAGTCTCTCCATTTCCTTTGAAGCCGATGTTTCATATAATAGTAGTGATGTTAATAATTTTGAAAAGAACGACAAATGAAAGAAAACTAGATGAGCCTTGTTTACACGCTGATTTATATTTCTTGTTCCCATTGTTTTTACGCATAGGGCTGGATATTATTAAGATAACATTAAGATAAATTGTTAGCCTACCTGTATTCTCCACTTAGTCTGTAGCCTATTCATGCGTATATGATTGGATAATAATGATGCACTCACTATCGTCTTTTAATTATTTTAAATTATTGGGAAGTAAATTATTTTAGGCTACTACAACAATCTTTAAAATATTTTACGTTTAAACTAGTGTGTGCTGACGACATGCAGAATAGATTAAAAAGTGTGGTATGTTGGCTAAAATGTGTAAACATCTTTATCAATTTTTTTTTTCTATTTTATGGACCTCATAAACAATCTAAAAGTTATTGACACATTTCATTTTGATTAGGCTCTCTGGGTGTTGCCACGAATGCCTTTAACTCCTGCTAAGTCGAAATCTGTTTAAGTATAAACTTTTTATTTAATGTCATAAGACTACATATTTTCTTACTTGGTCCAGAGAAATAAACAGATGCTTGAAATTTTATCCAGAAATGACTTAGGGCAAAAAAGATAAGATTTGAAATAATAAATCGTTTTTTGTTCTCCAGTTACAGCAGACAACAAAGAAGTTTGTGTTATCGCTTAAGACGTTCGTTGTCTGGTTCATAGGAGCTGTGGGAAAGTTGGAAATCCTTTTCTTTATAGGTTTTAAATATGCATAAGTATGGTAATCGCGGTCCTGCTGTGTTGCAAACAGGCGCAGCAGATCACACACATGTGCTCCACAACTTCGGACCGCATGAAGTCGCCAAGATGAGGACATACAAGTAAGTCCTATTTCTCTCACTGACGTCTTCTCTCATAAAGAGATATAACAGGGCTGTCTGAAGTTTGTTTAAGGCGGAAAGCATGCGAGCACAGGACAGCACGTGTGTTGACCCGTTGGGAGTAAATCTTTACGTGTGCCCGTCTGACCACTTCTATTGGGTGCCAGATCAGTTGAGCAAAGGTTCTCAAGATGAAGATCAGACATTTTATAGGAACTATGAAGGAGAGATGCGCAAAAAAGTTGTGGAAGAGTCACGTCTCCAATGTGAACGCAGTTGTTTTAATAGGAAACGGATATTAGGCCTAATGATGACTTTAGCGGTAAGTTTTGAGGTCGATGGTGTACATATTTCGTTGATGGTCAATTTGCCTCGCTATTTTAGCTTTTATTTAATAAACTATTAGCGGACCAATTATCTGGGCTGAATTTAATAAACGCTCGTTTTTTTAATTATTATTTTTACTTTATTTTACTTTTTTTTTGCTAAATGTATCGAAATGGCTTATGTATTAATTCACAATGATACATGCACTGAATCAAATTGTGCTAGGTTAATTTTAGATCCTATAGACGATTATACATTTCATGCGAATATTTGCATGTCTGTCAAATAGTTGCTAATTAAAGGCATATCGTATAGTTTATCAACTATTTGTATATAATAGATATTGTAAATTAATGATATGCTAATCTCACACAATTCTCTTTGTGTCTTTTTGTATCGTTCAAATGTCTTTGTTCGCCCTTTTTAGCATTTATATTATATAATATTTGTCTATTTGCGGATTTTAAAGGAGGAATAAGAGAAACAGTCGGAAGTAATGCTAACCCTTCTATATGGTTAAAATTGTACAATAATGTAGACAATGTCAATTGACTATAAAATACGCATCGTGAAAAGGCAAATCACATCTTCCAAAAATGCGAAGGAGATGAAATGGAAAAAAACAACGCAGCCACAGTAAATGCAAAGAAAATTCAAATATACCTTTTAAATATGCATCAATATTAAAAATAATACACACGCAAGGACCAACTGCAGTGAAGATGTAAGAATGGCGGAGCAGGCGTCTCATTATGCATGATGGGCGATTTCCCTGGCAAAGAGTCCCCGCTTCTTTGCTGCATATGTTCCAGTATTCACGGTTAAGAAAGGTGCCTTCTTTCAGTAAAAAAAAACAGCAACTTCTTCCAAAAAAGAAAGGGACCACATCGAAGCCGATGAGGGGAAATTACTCCGACCGCTGAAAGAAAGGCAATGTTGGGGGATTTGCATATTTGATGCGCTAATTTCCCTGATGTATTTAAATATGGCTGCACGTAGCCGATAGGCTTGCTACGTCATTGGACGTGACCTCGTTGTAAAATCTAAACGTGAATTCGTTTTAGTGAAACATAAGTGCCTGCAATAATTTAGGACTGTGAAAGAATATGACCTAGGAAAGGTTCATAATCTGAAAAAAAAAATCTTGTTTAAAAACTGGTGTAATAAAACACCCTGGCATAATACTATGCTTATATTAATAATAATCATTATAATTTAATGACATTTTGTGAATTTGATGGATTGGGTTGTGGTGTTTTCTCCTTAATAAAGGTTTAAATACTCAACACAGATTGGCATACAGACAGGTTTGGCATCAGATTCTTTATAGGCTGAATATAGGCTATTTCTAGCTACACATACGTAACACACACACACACACACACACATATATATATATATATATATATATATATATATATATATATATATATATATATATATATATATATATATACACAAAGTTTGAATAGACGTGAATCAGAGCGCATAGGCTACTTAAAACACAGCAACTAGAAGAGGTAACTATAGCAACAGAATGCTGCACATTTTGGGGCTTTAAAATGGCTATTAATTATTTAATCTGCTTAATTCATTACTTAATATGTTATATAGCCTATGTTTAAACTAATTTTAGATAGGTTGGCTCTAATTGTAACTAGAGGCCATAAAGATAATTTACTGTATAATTCATACACTGTAAATGTTATTGCATGTAGCCCATGGGCCTATACATTTAAGGCATGGGGACAAGTCTGCATAAAAGGCCCATTTCTGTGCTTGCGCGCGCGCGCACTTAAGGTTATGGCAAGCTTAAAGTGTAAAGATTTCACTTTTACTTTTTTCTTCATCCTAAGCCATTGCGTATCAGTGTGCAAGTTTTCTCCGAGCTAATGATGTCCTCTCAGTGTCAGGTGGCCATTGCGTTCCGTCAGTCAAAACGTGTTGGGCAGAAGCGCTCGGAGCAAATTCATTACCGCAGTCAATCCGTAACCTGGTCTGGGAACTTGGGGCTAGTCCACGCCAATAGAGGAACAATGCCTCCTCAGTTCAAGTCCAACAAAAGACCTGGCGAACTTGTTTGAATTTCAGAGCACGTCCTTTCTTTCACAGAGAGGACTGCCCCCTCCCGAACACCCTTCATGAAAAAAAGAAAAGGAAAGAAAGGGGGGAAAAACATGCCGACCTTCTCTGCTCAACAGTGCACTTTTCTATTTGGTGCTGCAGACAAATAGGTTATGGGAAACTTCTCAACCCCTCCTTCCTCTCTCCCCCTCTCACTGGCTCTCGCTTATACGGTAGCTGTCGTTCTGGTGCGCCTGGACTGCGCTCTTGTGAGAATCAGTGCCGCTAAGGCACGCGTAATGAACAGAGTATTAGCGGCAATTTTAAACCGAACGCTCCTCGTGCACGCCGGGTTCTTACCTACAGCTGGAGTTGCATCTGGTCACGTCGACATCTGCGTAATTAAAAAAAAGCCTTTGCTCAAGTGAGTACATCTGAAGACACTTCTCATCCTTTTTAATTTGTTCTTCTTTGTGCCCATTAAGAATAATACAGTGCTATTATTGCAAAGTTTGACACAAGACATTGCATTTTGAATTTTATTTTCAAGGTATAACAATCTCAATGTTGAACAATGTCATAGATGTTTGCACCGATACTTTGAGCTGATCTGACACAAAGCACTTGTCTCAAGGCCAAAGTCTCATGCAGTGATATACAAGTAGTGAGTGACAGTTCATAACTTAACATTGTTTGAAGGTGAATTTTGCATGTTGGCACAGAACACTCGTTATGCGCTGGGTTATTTTGTTTGCTGGTCACACATCAATTAAGAATTTTTATGTTCTGTCATAAAAATAGCATGGATGTTATTTGAACTGTTACTTCTCTATCAAAACTGCATGGTCAAACCTCAAGAAACCCGTTTTTTCTGCTGTTGTCCTAAGAAAATCATGTGCTTTTTCTCTGAATCCAAATCTTCGTAATCTGGGAAAATGTGAGTCGAATTGTTTTATTCACTCCTGATTTTAAGTGTTATTGTGTTTACCTGCTTTAACCCTGCTTGCTCCATTGTGGCAGTATAACATCACCGGAAGGCCAGACTAATGCTAAAAATAATTTTATTTAATTTTTAACCAGGACACGTGTTCCAACTTTAGATATGATACTTGGATGTGATATGCTTTGATATAGCTTTCCTAAATTAGTTCAGTCAGAAAACACCCCTAAATGAGTTGTGTCTGAACAAAAGTGCTGTAAAACATTAGGCCTAGAACACCTCAGCATGTCTAAGACAGCTGATTCAGGTAATGACACTCTGTACAAAATCAAATAAAGACACTATATATAAAAGCATTAATTTATTCAGAGTTTTCATACATAGACATACATAGATGGAAAGAGCAAGAGAGAGAGAGAGAAAGAGCAAGAGAGAGAGAGAGAGAGTTGTACTGCAAGACTCCCATTCTGAAACCCACACGGCTTCTGAAAGTCAGCATCACGTTTTGAATGATAGGTTTGTTATCCACTTCCAGTTCTTATGGAACAGAAAGTACGCACGACTATGTTAATTAGTTAAAAAATAAAGATTTTGGCACCACTGGTGAGAATATGAGGGCATCAACATATATGTACTTGCACTGGAAATCACCTTCCACTGTCTAGTGCGCGATCTGCTATACAGTGCTAAACATACCTTTGCGTGTTGACTGTCGGTCGCAAGATTCCTCTTTTTGATGTTTTCAATAGCGCGATCTAAAATCCCGGTGAGCGAGGGTGATTGGCGTTGCCTGTCAGATATTTCCATCAAGAATGCTCGTAGTTGAATATACAGAACGCGCGACCACCGCAGCCTCAACCTGCACGAGGAATGCAAACGCGCTCTGGAGATTTCTAATGACATCATCATTAACATCATCATCCTCATCAACAAGGTTTTGCACTCCCGTGGTCCGAGACCTTTGACCTTCTCTGGCTGGTCCATATTTTGGTACTGGAAGCCCGTCCCCCCGCTTACCCCCTCCGCCCCCCCACTCCTCGAGATGTGGCCCTGTTCCCTCTCTCAGACCGCTGGCAGCAGCAACACAATCCTCCTCTCGTCTCTCTCCTAGCAGCTCTCAGGGATCTGTGGCATTACCGATCTCCTCCGTGCACGGACAACCTGCCCACCACTCGGCCAAAACTAAGAGAGCGATCCCTCCATTCAGTGGCGAAACAAACGCGATGTTATTTCCGCGTGCACTTTTTTTCCTCTGGAATCGGATTTTTCCCCTCTTTGTATAATCTCGCTGCTGGTTCCGTGGGATATCTATCGCTGCTGCCACGATTTAATAGAGCCAAAGGAGCCTTTTGTGAGATTGGGAGGTAATTTGCAATGCAAATGATGGCCTGTACGAGGATGACTGCTTCTTATTCGACAGGCTCCCTCACTCCAACTCTCATATTGTTTTAACGTTAACTGCTCCGGTGTCAAATGGATTATAGCTTTCGTTTTGATTGAAGAAACTGTCATTTATTTGTTTTTATATATATATTTGATCTTTTTTTTTTTTTTTTTTTTGGTTGCGAGCATATCCACTTTTAAGAACTACAAATGACAATTGTGAAGTCCATTGCCTATTTTTTTCTATTGTGTTTTAGCAACTTCTCCACTTGGATTTATTCTTACACAAGACACGGAGGTATCCTGGGATTACTGTTGTGGAATTGGAAGCGAGTTGTTATCTTTGGTTATCTAGCTGTATGAGTATTTTGCACTTCATAAAGCTAGATAACCGAAAGTAAAAACTGCCTCCTGGCTCATCGAAACTCTGGCTGCCTATTGACACGAAGATGCATTTAAAAAGAAAGAAAAAAGAATTTGTATTCTGTTATAGCCTGTGTCAGTAGCTTTTGGCTACACAACATGTTAGACAATATTTTGGGTTTTATTGTGTTTTGTTTTAGGCTTCACTTGGTGCTATAATGATTTGAATACTGCGTATTTTTATTTCTCATAGCTCGCGGGCAAAATTCAACCGGTAACTCAAGCAAACAAATAACGACTTATTTTCCTTTTCCTTGTGGAGGAAAACAAATAGACGAATAGACTGGCAGAGAGGAAATTAATAATGCTCAACTTTGTATGATCTCACCAATTTACTGAAACTGACACGTGAAGAGAGAGGAACCCACGTGCTCACTATTTATTTCAGCTCGGTCGCCTTTGGCCAGGAAACGGCGCTGGCATCCCAAACAGAAATAATTAGGACATATAGAGAGAGCTGACAAAAATGAAAAGGGGTGGGCACATGGGGAGCGAGGGGGTCGGTCCTCCTTAATTGATTCCGTTAAACGGAGCGCAGTAGATGTGAACGACTGGACGCTCCCATTCCCACGCTCGAGGGCAAGTGGCAATGCCACGGCCCTATCCAGAATATGACAGACAGCGCCGGCGGGCTGGGGGGGCTGGGGGCGACATGGGTCATGAAAAGATGTCAAGTGCACCCGACTCATCTGCATCCCTTTAGAAAGTGGCGAGCGTTCCCAGCCTCGGCAGACGCGGGCCCCAAAGCCGGAACAGTAGCCCAACGGCTGTGAATTTCTCTCAGGCATGATCGCTGTAAACGCTGCTACTCCTGCCGCCGCCGAGCTGAATTGTTTGTAAGTGTGGGAATAAGGCGTGTGTATGTAAAAGAAGTGGCGTATTGAGCTTGAAGTTTTGAAGCATAGCTTTGCTGCAGCTCTGCGTTAAAACATGACATCACCGCTATTGTCCTCAAAGCGCTTGCATTTGAACTTGACAAGTGTGAGATTTCCCCCCCGTCTGGCTTAACGCCCTCTCATTATACCGTATTTATTCTTTGCACTAGACATTAATGTTCATTCAGGGTGGCTTTTTTGTTTATTATTTTAGGGGCCTAATGCAAGTTGAAGATTTCATTGTATAGGCCCAACACTGACTAAATTAGTCAACTTTAACACTTATTCTCTCTTGAAAGGCGTAGCATCATTTCAGTAACTCTGCTGAACACTTTCCAGTGTGAAATAGCAATTTATTTATTTATTTATTATTATTTTTTTTAGAAGTAGCCCACAGCTTTAAACATGTTAAAACTAAATACTAATTTTACTATTTCTAAAAATATTGCATGCAATAAATTCTAATGATAGTATTATTAGATTAATTAATTTATTAATTCATTTATTTATTTATGTATGTATTTTATTTTATTTGCTATAATGTTACAAATGGGCTTTTCAGCTAAATTTAATGAATAGAATAGTAATAATAATAATACAACACAGAGCTTAATTAACTGCCTGACAAAGTAAAGCATTTTGATCCCAGTCTCTTTTCTGTGAATTATAACAGGGCCTTATATGTTGTCAATAAGAAATAAAAAACCTGAGAACATGATATTATCAGGCAGTTATCCATTGTGAAAACACATTCACCTTTCCTTTTGAATTCTCAAATTTCCATACAAGAAACAAATGGGGTGTTAAAAACAAAAACCTGCTTATTTCATTCACTTGTGAGGGGGAATTAGTTTAACGCATCCTGTTTATGATCTTTTTTTTCTAGGTCATTCTAGCATCACACGAAACTCATAATTCCATCTTATGATAATGTTACGTCTTCTCGCGTTTTACATATCCAGCGCTCGCTTTGTATGCACCATGACTTGTCAGTCAATCTATTCAAAATGCCCACTTTACAGATTTATGTGTACTGTTGTTAGTTTGAATGCAGTGTTGAATGTTTGCAAATCATTTTTGAGATTACTGATCTCATTACTGCGAGCACAAGCTTTGAGTGATAGAAATGGGTCACTTTTTTCTTCTTCAAGAATATCAGTGATTCTATAGAGAAGAAACCACTTCATGCTATAAGCCAGTGTTTTAATTTATAACATGTAGAATACAAAATAATATATTCATTGATTGACTTGTTATTATTTTTTATGTTTTACTAGAGCAAAATGACACTGATTTTAAATCTGGGGGAGGGGTTATGGAAATAAGCAAAAAAAGAAAGAGAGAAAAAACATAAGTGCTTAGAGCTTAGACTAATAATTCCATATGTTTGCATGATTTCAGACCTAGATTGAGGTGAACTCCAAGGCTGCTTTTGAATATTAATTTTTATGTAGTAGGCTGGCTGCCTGCAGCTCTATGAATGAGCCATTTGCTATTGTGTGTGCGTGTGCGTGTGCATGTGTGTGTTAGACAGTCAGGCATATTGCCGTCTTGTAATTGGCTGAATACTATAACCATGGCGACGATGGCAGCGTATCAGTATTCATTGGGCAAGCAATCTTCATATTTTTGGCTACTCCACATCGTCCGCCTGTTTTTGGTCACACACCTTTTACAGCGCCTCTTTAATACTCTTCACATTGAACTGTTAGCATTTGGTGAATTGACATGCTTTGTCATTTCTGTTTGTTTTCTTTTTCCACTTTGGAAATAATTAGTCCTTGAATTTATTTAAATATATTTATTTAAGTATGTCTTATTTGATTTTAGTTATCACTTCCATGCTTATTTGATTGTCATAAAAGTCGTCACATTTGGATGAAAATAATTGTAGATGCAGATGTGAAAGCATCTTCAACCATCTGTATTCTAGCACAGCGGGACACAGTGTTCAGAGAAATTGGATGTGATTTATTTTGTGTAATAGTAAGGATGTGTGTTCGGGGTTTCTTCACTGAATTCAAATGAGCACACTTTACTTTATGTATATATATATATAAGTTTTGCTTAATACTATTTATTTATGTATTTATTTATTTATCTCACTTTATAATGAGAAAGCTTAGGTTTAAGTGTTTAGAGTTACCCAGATTAACTCCCTGTTTTAAGGTTCAGATAATTCCTCAGGTTGTATGTTTACAAATTACTTTTCACTTTTATACATTAAGTTACTGTCATACATCTAAAGCAAATGCAGCAATTTAGTACATTTTAGTGTTGTGATAAGACAAGTGCAGTCTCTCTGTGCTTTCTGATCTGCAGTGCATGGATATCTTAAGAAGAGATTCTTGATTTACCAAGCTTGCTTTTCGGAAAACTAATGGAATAAAGTGCCTTACAATGTGCTGGGATGTTAAACAAGCAGATACATGTTGGCACTGAGCATCCTTAAGACCCGCCTCCTCTCGACCAGGTCACATGTACAGTGTTGCTCCCGCTGGTTGGAGTCGCTGTGGCAACAAGCGGTGATCTCACATGCGTATGATGGCAATGTGCAAAAGCGGGATAGGTTCCATATATGTGTGGGTTTGTGTGTAATATTGGATGGTGGATATGTATGCGTGTGTGCATCTGCTTGAATGCATGTATTCATGTTTGTTGCATTAAGACTTGACTTGCACTGTTTGTGTATGATTGTGTGACACTTTTAGCAGTAATCTGGTACTTTAAACTCAAATTTAGATTTATTTTGTTCATTTAGAGTCAATGAGCAGTTCTTGGGCATTAAAAAAGACAGGTAAACTGGCAACTTAAATGTGCAATTAACCTCAGGCTCAGTGTCCATATTTAGAAGTAGTGCAGGGATTGTAAATGTTTCTTGTACTGTAATAACACTTTAGTGTCACAAATAAATGCAGACAAATTGCAAAGGTTGAAAATGTACGGTTCAGATGTGCAGTTATTAGTTTAATCATGACCTAAAAGGGATAGATCACCCAAAAAAAAAAGAAAATTCCCTCTATTTACTCACCCTCAATTGATTCCAAACCTTTATTAGTTTCTTTTTTCTGTTGAACACTGTAGGTTATATTTTGAAGAAATCTGTAGCATTCATTGTAGGAAAAACAAATACTATGGAAGTTGGTGGTTATAGGTTCCCAACATTTTTCAAAATGTATTTTTTTGTTTTCAACAGAGGAGAGGAAGTAAAGGTTTGAAGGGTGAGTAAATTTTGTCAGAAATTTCATTTTGGGTAAACTTTCCCTTTAAATTTAAAACTAGATGAGGCCATGTTTATTTCCCAATTTGTTCGGATGAATTATTAATTTGATCTTCTGTGAAATGGTGTACTGTGGGAAAAAAATACAATTTACTCAATTTATGTTTAGGTTAGTGGTTGCAAACTACTTATATGGACTAAATTTAAACAAACAAAGTTGAACATTACAAAATTTAATTGGCTTGTTTAAATTCAGCTAATATAAATAGTTTACAACCACTTGCCTAAACAAAATTCAGTGAAGTCCATTGAATATGTTCTTTTAGTGCAGTTGTTTTTGTTCAAAATATGTCATAATGTAGTACACTGCGTGTGTTTTATTTTATTGCAGCATATCTACTGTTAATATAAGTGCATGATAATGACAGTTATAAAACGATACGCGATGGAAAAATGTTATGGTTTACTCAAAGCTAGAAGCAATTTGTGCAATGACAGCGCTGTGACACCGTATGCATTAGTGATGTTAACTGCAGTGGCCTGACTGAGCATGTCTGTTGTCTGCTGAATTTAGATTATGCAAATTCACAGAGCTATAAATAAGTCAATAGCTGTGTGTCAAATAGCTCTTAAAACTAAGAGCTGAGAGATCCTAAATGTTCTGTCAGTAAGAAGTTGAACTATATTATTTATAAAATACTAATACTGTTTAAAATGTAAATCTCAACAAAATATTTTTGCTAGTACTTTTTTTTACACTGTACATGTTTAAATAATCTTAATCATAATTTATTTTGTAAATTATATATATATATATATATATATAAAAAAAAAAAAATATATATATATATATATATATATATATATATATATATATATATATATATATATATA